AGAGCCGTGGAACTTAACTCTACGTTGTCTTAAGGAATAATCGCCCCCTTGCCCGATAATGCCGCAGAGAGTTCCTTTTGCCGATCAGCGCTTCCGAGGCTGCCTACTTAGTTCAACTCCGAGAGTACCTATAGTGATATCGTAGGCCCACGCAGCCACAGAGTGACGCGCCCTTTCAACCAAGCGTTGTTGAGGAGCGCAGATCCCTGAACGCCTTAACCACCAGTGAAGTAGCGCAAGCCCTCTATGCCTCCCACCTAACTGACAACTGCCATGCTCTCCGCAGTCTCATGCGTTTTTGGAAAAAATTTTTATGAAGCCGATGCCCCCCATGAGTTGAACCCCTCGGACAAGGTCATACCGTTAATGACCGGTGACACTGGTACCCCTCGGTTCTGTCCTATCATTTCCTTTGTACACACTCCAGGTATTTTTAGGCTTACGGAGCTATCTTGCTGCCCTATGGTTAGCGAGCTGTTGGCGAGTCCTTGCGCTACGATCATGCACATGCTTTCCTCGCCCAGCCGATCTCTCAAACAGAAAAGTAGATTGCCCCGACGCCAAAAGCCCCCCACATGTGCCTATGCGCCCGAACACAGGAATCGTTCAGTTACGTTATGGTCTGCCCCGACTTCAAAAGCGTATCTGCCACTGGATACTAGCATAGCCGTGCGTAAGCGACCTACATCTTCCTCTCTAACCTGAGCCGCACATACATGGGGATTGACGTCAAGCTTGAATTATTCAAATATATATACCTCAATTTTTCTCTAGTGCTGGCCCTCGGGCATTGCGCAAAGACCGCAATGTTAAGATTGCAGCCATATCACCAAAGATCGCGGGATCTCTGATCTATGGAGAATGCGACCTATACCCAGCTCTTATTCATCAGAGTTAGCAGCTCATTCTAACTACTAGCATTTTTGATCTCCTACCTCATCCTATAAGAACGCCCCTATAAAAATCCGAAAATCGACGTGGCCTCTACTCAAACAATGAGGGGTCCACCTCTTCTCTTATCATATTGCCGTAGCTCTAGAAGAAATGGAATATGAAGAAGCCGTGCCTCAAACAGAGGGCACCTACCTTAGTCCTAGCTGGTGAAACCTTTGTCGATTGCGTAGATGTCTTTTAGCTGATCTTCAAAATTTAGCAGAAAAGTGGTCAAGAGCGCGTCGCAGGACTTTTCGACCAACCTAATATTAAACCTTTGGAAACTTAGTTGATTACGGGAATCGACTAGTGACGACCTCCCCTTTTAATAGCTGTTTTTGGGGTGAACTTGAAAAATTCCTGGGAATCTGGGGTGGATGGAAATGGGGAAACTTAGGAAGATGGTAGGTTGGATAGGGAAGGAGGGGCCGAACCAGATGAAAGTTTCGCGGGGGGGGAGGGGGAAGGCGCCGTCTCACCGATCTCGCCACTCGTCTCATCAGACGGCCACTACAAGGAAGCAGAGCCTGTTAAATCTATTAACAGCTATTACAAACAAAAAAATGACGTGACTCACATCAATAAAGTAGTGTATAGCTGTATTTTCATTAATATTATTGTTCATAACCTTGTCCTTAACTGATCCATTTGGAAGGTACTCTGTGAAGATCAATAACTGATGGCTGCAACAGCAATTATAATACATATAAAATACTGAGTAGTGATTAAGTTGATCAAAATAAAAATAATTGAAAAATTATCAAGAAAATAGAAAGGTGGGTTTTCTCGAAGAAATATTCGTCACCTACTCGTCTGCATAAAGTCCCAGGAAATTCGCAATTCTGTCATTGGCTAGACTGATACGATGCAAGTGACGGAATTCGGCGATGAACACGTCCAGCCGCTAAATGCATTTAATTAGACCACTCCGTTTGCAAATGTGGGATCTCCGAATTAAGAGGAAAACATGTGGGAAAGTAATATTTTGGTTTCAAATCCAGAAGGAGGCGGATGTGGTATACAGGGGGGCCAAAAAAATGTCATTTTGCCTCCATGACTTCCAAGACGCTATAAGTTACGCTTTATTAATTATCGGACATTTTTACTACCATATTAAATAGCACGTTAAATACTATACTGATACTCCGCCACAGCCTTCTGGAGGAGCGCCAGAGATTCGGCTGAGTGGGTACCGGAGTTGAGCGAGATCGTTGATTTCTCCGCCACTGTAGACCACCCTATTGAGCTCCGCCCGAACCGAGTAATTGAGACGACATGAAGATGGGATATTGTCCTCGAGTTGCTCGATGTAGCCACCAAGCTGCACACCCTCCGGGGGGGGGGGTCAGTTGGGGCCCACGAAGAACAAATATCGGTTTCATTCCATTCCAGTACGGGCCGGTCGCACACCATCAACACGCGCCTTGGGTAAATGGGGTGAAGATGATATCCTGGACCGTGCGAGCGTTGCGCTGGAGCTGCTGATGATGTGGAGGTCTTAGCAGTTCAAGAGTTACTGGTCTCCGGAGGTAGGGACGTCTGCCATGGGCTGATTCCATTGAATGAAGTGTCCGCACGCTGTTTAAAGCCACGTCTTGAATTCAAAGGCGTTCTCCACCTCAGGCGCCGACTGGAGATGACTTCATATTTTGGTCTGAAAGGGGAATGCGGGTCAGCCGCTCCTGCTTATAGAGGATAGATTCTTGAGTACGCTTCGCGGCCGCTTGTACTCATATCCACTTCCTCTGTCTGGGCCGCGAAAACTTCGCTCAACTTCACTCGGCCAGAATGACTTTTTTTTTGGCCCCTCCCCTGTAGTGGTGATTGGCACGCTTACCATGCACGCGATTCAGGGTCAAATCCCCGATTACTCCCGCCCCGGCCAACCAGGCCTTCTACCCTCCACGGATTGTAAGCCACTACGATTCTGAATGGAAGTAGAATGCATACCGCATCCCAAAAAAGGCTCCATTTACGGCGAAGGCTGTACCCTTCAAGTGACGGAGGCTTCCTTCATAAACCTTTTTGACCATCCCCAACCCACACACATCTGTCGGCCACAACTCGTGCGAGGTGAAATCCCGCCCACTGGAAAATTCACGAAATTTGCCTTTTGCCGATTTGAACAATCTCCTCCTGCTGGTTTCTTCAAGTGCCAAAATATAATTAGAACCTTGTTGGGACTGTGGTTTATTCCAACTAGAAAACTTTTTACATTTCTTCCGGACACGAGTAAATTTATTGCCATTTGCCACCGCATTCAGCTACTTAGTTATTCATAAGTAACTCAGCACTTTCTTGCAACGTCTGCTCACTTGCCTCAGTGGAAGTGGCCAGACATCGCTGAATGTTCGAAAGGGAAAAAGCAAAGAGAGTGGTTCCAGAACTGTTGATGGCATCTGCATACATTCATCAAACATGAGTATCAAAAAATGAGAGAGGATTGTTCCAAAGCAACTTGTAGGCGTCAAACGGCAGAAATCACAAAATTTATAAGTTTACCTTAACACATCGACGACCGCGTGATACACATTTAATGCGCGGTTTTTGGGCCACGCGGGACCGCGCGAATTGTATACGAAACACGATCAAAAAATCGATATCTTTCACTAGTCCATGATTTTTTATTTGGTTTCTCCTATTCACTCTATAGGCCAATCCTTGTTCGTAAAGACGTGGTCCATGGAATAATTTAGTACACACTAGTTTAGCAAAGATACTTGTGGAAAGAGCACTATAAGCTTGATTTGGTTTGCTCCTCGTCTTTGGATGGGTTTGTTATCTAACTCTTTGCCAACAAATACCGACAATTACAACATTGATAATGATGAAAACATATAAGGTGAAGGATTCTGTGTTTCATAGAAGGCACGATTTGAGTTTTTTTTTGAGAAAATTAGTTGCAGACAAATTCCTGGCCCTGATGCAAAGAGGGTTGGCCAGCCCCGCTTATTTCCCATAGTGAATAATTGACTTACTTTATAGTTGCTCTCTAAACCAGGTTTTCTGGTCCAATCTCCAAATGAAAGTGCCTCGTCAGACCGCGCGGATCGTATGCGTACCGCGCATGTGGCGTTCGAGAAAGCGCGCGGTCCCACGCGGTTGAAAAAGCAAAAACCCGCGCGGTCGTCAACGTGTTAAAGACCCAGCGCTAACGCTCGATATCTCCGAGGTGCGGTAGGCGTGGCTGCGCACTTCAACTAAACGTGACTGCGGCTGTGCTTTTAGTGAGATACATCCATTTCGATACAGTCAGGTCATGTCTCTTTCGAAGACAGAACCAGACAAGATGACAGCCACGTCAAGTTGTAATATCGCCCATCCAATAAATGTCCAAATGCCACTCCTAATCTTTCGCAGGGATAGGGAGCATACCAGCAAACTGTACATGGCACTGGAATGCCGCAATCGCATACAAATGCCACTTTGATTTCGAAGGTAAGTCCAGTGCGTGGCATAATGGTTTCGGATGTAAGTCAGCTGCATGGCGTAACTCATAAAGGGGTAACGGAAGTCAGCGGGTTTCTTCAATTCGCGAGCAAACCAGGTGAGAACATTTTTCATTTCTTCAAACTCTGATCCCTTCATTGGTATTTACGGCAGGTGAACTAAACTACACTTATCTGATCACATTCCGTCATTCCTCACTTATCAGCGCATTTTATCTGCATCATTCTCAAACTGATGCAAAAAAAGTCAGGTCAAAAATTCGTGAACAACATGCCTGCGAAATGCGATAGTCGGACTGGCTCCAATGATCAAACAGCTCCATCGGTACACGTTTTACCGTCTCATGGACCATTTTTGATGTGTTGAGGTATTTAACAACCTGGAATAAAAGGATTCAGTTCTCAGAAGCTTACTAATTTTTGTAGTACCTGGACAATAATCATGGGCTTGCTACTGCATGCAATGCTAAAGTTAGTTTAACTTATGTAACAAAATACAGAGCGAAGGTCACCACAAGAATGCTGAAAATGGGCAAAAAGCTCAACCTCAGGCAAGGTTCAATCCTGAACGTCGTGCTTCCCGGGCCTGTGACCAACCTCTGCACCACCAGAGCCGCTTTTTGCTCATAAACCGGAGCTAATGTGATATCACTACTGTACCGTGGCTTTTTTAATCTGGCTTACTCAGCTTGGCACAGGGCCCCTCGAGAGGGGCCAGTCTGCAGTACTCTGAGCGCCTTAAAGGCAATTGGCACGATGGTCTCCGACTTAGCCTAAAATGCTAGTCGGGCGCTGTATAGTGGGGAAATAGTGAAAGAACGGAGTGAAACGGTCTAAATCCGTCGAAGAGAAAGCCTCCGTTCTCAGTGACTTGTAAATCGATTTCGGACGAGTTTTCCGTAGGCATCAGGCCAATCACCGCTACCGAAGATGCGGCTGCATATGTGTACCCGTGTATGCATGCAGCATCACGGCCGCTACATAACAATCCCTTCGCTTCATAATTTGCTCAGCAAATGGAATGTACACGAGGCGTGCAGAACGGTCGTCCATTTGTGGGCGGGCGGGCAAGGAAGGCGTTTGGGACGTAAAGTTGTTGCTCATAGGGCGTTGTAGAGGTACCCTACCTGGAAAAGGCTTCACGCGCGGCAGCGCCTGTCCGAGGTCAGCGGATTCTGTAAGGCCAGTTGTACAACTCTACAACCTGTATAGCGATTTATTCGTGGCCAACTGCCTTTAAGGCCATAAGGCACGATAATTCGGTACCTATTCCAAATAGAAGCAGGTGCTATATAAGAGGAAATCACGAAGAAGTGAAATCAAGTGGCCAAAAACATGCAAAAAGGCTTTTGTTTCGCACGGCAGCATGGGAGCCTTTTTGGACGAGTTTCCCATTTGTGTCGTGCAAGAAACCGCTCTGATAGATACGACGCATACATCTGCTTATATATCCATGTAGCAACACTTCTATCAATATTACTTCATAAAGGAAGCCATGAGAGTACCAGCGTGGATGCGACTGTGCGACCGTGGGCGGGCGGCGGTTGAGGTGGGCGTTTGGGTGGGCATGTTGCAAATTAGTTGGATGCTATAAAGACTCTCTCGATTGGAAAAGGCGCCACGGAGCGCCTGTTGAGGAAAACATTATTCTTTCGTGCTAGGCGTATACCCTTACCCTTAACGCCCTGTCGATTCATCGTGCCACTTGCTATTGAGTAGATTGTGGTTTTCTGGACGTTGGAGAGGGGAAATTCGCTCCCTTATGAGTGAGTCACTTCGCACATTCTATCTTTCCAGAAATGATTAGTGGGTCAGTCCCCTTGGATCACCCTTCTCTTTCATTGTACGCTACCATAACGCTAACCAAGAACTGCAGACTGGTACCCGTCGACGCATATGGCGCAGTGACACAGAGGCGCTCAGCTAAGAGGGGACTAGGCGACGTTGGTGGGCACTCGGCCGAAAAGCGGTTGCGACGGTTCGCGTCCAGTTTCAATCCAAGATTTTTGCTCATATCTAAGAATTCTTGTGACAGCTTTCGGAGAGCAAACCATTAAACAGCAGTAATCACAAAAAGGCAATTGTAATTGGATAGCCTTGAAAACTTTGGAGAACGACAAGTTTAGCACTATGTGATATAATGCATCAAACAGTAACTAGCTCGAAGACACCAGGAACAGAATACTTCTACATTTCAAAATGTTCCAGCGTACCTCACCAAATCTGCCTTTTCCTAGATTTTGGGTCTCTTTGTAGTTCGAGAGCGATTTGATTCGGATAGGATCGTCTGGTGGAATTCGTTCTTGAATCCATCGTAGTAATTTACCGCTCAAGCTTTCCTGTCAACTTTGTACATAATGATACACATGTGATTCACAGTCATGTTCGCTGCAGATGCTAAGACGTTCCGTGTTTTTCCGCCCTTTGTCCGCCATTGTCAAAGTAGGCAAGTGACAACAATTACTGAAGAGTGGACTGGCGCCGCCAAAAACCCATATCAGCTGGCGCTTTCCTGCATCTGCAGCTAGCAATATAGTATAATAGAAAGCTTGTATAAATCTCTATAAAGGATTGTAGGCAAAGCTCTATGAAGTATAAAGGACGAAATAAGACGTGACAGCAGCTCGATTTTGTAGTAGCACTGTCTTGAGCAATCTTAAAGGTCTGATCAGGGATTATGAGGCCGGCGACCCCAGCGGAGCGACCGAAAGCCGATGCAAAGGGCCCGCAGGAGATGAACGGTAAATGAGAAAGCAAGCTTTTGAAAGCACTTGGTGCAGCGTTGATCCTAACCGTGGAAACTTCAAGCGTCTGTCCAAAAATTCCTGTCTTGGAAGGCTCAGAAATGCAGCGAAACAACGAAGGGCACGTTATACTGTTGGGGAAACATTTTGCAGAATGCGACTCTTCTCTAAACTCTCTCCTCTGGTGCGACCCCTCCCCTTCACATACCTCATACTACCTACCTTACCCTGGATTCTCCACTTTTCTCCATCCAAAAAAAATACCGCAAGCTGGGGGGGGGTGGGGACGACGACGGACGTTAAACGGGAAAACCTAGAATAATCGAAAGTCAGCAGGTATGAAGGTTCTTCACAAAGGCAAATACGCCCGTTTAGCTATTTACCTCAAGGTATGATGTGTCTTGCAAGGAGGGCACCACGATTATTACCCCCACCCCGCTTGACAGAAAATGTCTGGGTGAAAAACTGGAAAAACTTGTAGGAAAGTGGTCGGTAGGAGTGGGGAAAGAGCGGGGTTGTACCGCGTTTTCTTCGGGGTTTCCAGAGAGAGTCGCATTGACACCACCGTTTTAGACATCACGATGTTGTACCCTTCATGTGATGTTCCTCAGTGAGCCAGTCAGAATGAGCACAAAGCAGTTGAAACAGATTTTAACTGGTACAGTTATAGTTATCAATGGAAGGGACAGTAACGGATCGATAGCTGGAGAAAGAAGGAATGTAGTAGAAATCCAGATCTCAACACTGGGTTCGGGCCACTTTAAATGTGGTCCGAGCTGTTCAAAATCGGACTCAGCGGTTTTTACTTCATTGTTCATATGATAAAACTGAGGAAACACTAACCTTGTTCACTTCATTTTTTTGGAAACGTGAGTTCATTCCCCAAGTGGGAGATCCAAGAGTATATATTGATCGATGACGTTACCAGTTACAATATAATCGTCTCAGATATAGTGCAAATAGACTGCGTCAAAAGATGCTGACGTATTCCGGTAGCGTTGATGAACGTAGTGCGATCGCATCACGAAGCGGGCGCATCGATTTGTCTTATCGGTTACGTTATTCCAGACTCATTGTGCACGTTTTCCAAAAGCACGCTGTTAACCCCCCTCGAACCCCACTGAAGAACAGCCCTATTCTATTGATTGGTTGAATTCTTCGCTCTAGAATGACTTACTGGTTGGTAAGACTTGTACTCGAAATCCCTGACATGGGGTGGGTGTGGCTGCTTACTTCAACCAAACATAGCTGTGGCTGCGCTTTTTGTGTGATATTTTTATTTTGACACAATCGTGGTCATGTCTCTGTCCTACACTGAACAAGATGGCAGTTGTCTCAAACTGAAATAACCTACGAGTGACCCATTCTATGCCATTACTGAATGCCACGCCCATTCCGTTTCAGAGATGAGGAGTGTACCTTTACTGCTTAACTGTTCGAAACTCAGAACAGATTTTGGTCGAAATTTCTCCACATGCTCCACATGGGTAGCTGAATATTTGGCACATCGTTGTTGAGGAATCCCCAACAGGAGGGGGGTCGTATTCGGCCGCCAGGACAGGGGTATTTACTTTCTGGCTTTTCCAGGAGGGGTGGGAGTGGTGGTTGACTTATCGTGATTTTCCTGATTTATGCGCGTTATATATCCCCCCCCCGACCCCTCCCGCTCAACAGCAAAATCTTCAAGAAAAAGCGGGAAGTTTTCGGGAAATTTTGGAAAAAGTGGCAGGAAGTTGGGAAAAATCCAAGAATTGGTAGAAGGGGGGTCCTGCTGTCTCGCGGCTTTGCCTGTTCACGTGCTATTTCCCCCTCCCCCCCCCTCCATCCTCACCCCCTCGACGGCTCGATTCCATGAGGAGGGACAGAGGGCCGGAGGGGGGGAGGTCGTAGCAACCCCAACCCCGAGAAAAGGGGGTTGTATTTGTACGGACTCGACTAAAATCCCGACCATTGATGTGCCCTGATTTCGACAAATTGAACACAGTGTGGTATCTGAGATAGTTCGACCCGTTCGGCATACCCTCCCTACTCCGGGGATGGGTAGTCTTCATTCAAAAGCCAAAGCGGCTACGTTCTGGGTTTTCTACGTACTTACATGTCACAGAGCACGTAATAAATTTGAAATTTGAAATTGATAATATTAAGACGAGCTTAATCACGTCTTTCATTGAGACAATCGTAATCACCTCTTTGTCTAGCAAGAGACAGGATGATAGTTGTCTCAAACGGAAATATTCCACGAAAAACGCATCCTACGCCTTGTTCAAATGAAGTACGCAGCTACGCGCTCCCCATCTATGGGATGTGTACTGCACCCCGACTGTACCCACCCGGTTGATATCCTAGCAAGCCGAGTAGGCGATGTTGGCAGGCGTGATTGAGCCCGCTTGTGTTTTCTGTTTTGTGTTGTAGCGCGCCTGCGGCTGCGTTTTCTACCAGCAGTGTCCAGCTCAAGTAGGAAACAACCAGTACAGGTACAGACAGTCGCAGGTGGGGTCACTTGCGCCTTCTGACACCGCCCCGTGAGATTGCGAGACGTCAGAGGTACTACATCCGTCCAAACCGAAGCACCCAGCACTGGCACCAGCTACGCTGGCGCTACAAGAAATTTTGAACGCCTTCGCCTATACAACTTATTTTTTTGTGTCCTACATTCCAATCAAAGTAACCCTCAAAAAATGTGATGTCCCGACAAATGAGCTAAGAAAAGCTTGATGGTCATACAGCCTTGTCGCCCTTACTTTCCCCTTCGTTCGGATACCTTTTTGGAAACTCAATAAGAGAATCACATCGTTTAAAATACATATTATTTACAATACAAGTACTTGAAAAATTCAGTCAACATTCAAGTAAAGCAGGTGATCAATGTTCTGTGTAGGTGGACGTTTCAGAGAGAAATCCAGGCGCTTTGGCCGCTGACATGAGCACAATGAACAAATGGAAGGAACGGATCTTGGCCTGAAACGAACACTGGAAGTACGACTTTATATGATATTTCAAAGCTGCTAATTCAAGTTTCCAGAAGTTCAACTCGATTTGTAAGCATGCTGACCCAAATGCAGTACATTCGCAAACAGTGAGGACGAGTAGTGGCATCACATAGTGTTACTGTCGACGGCGACTTCAGCCTTTCACAGATTATAGTATACGTATCAATCTACCGGTAAAGGAATAGCGGCACGACTGGAGATGGAGCACGTTTATCGCCCTTTTCGCTCGCATACCTTATATACAGGGGGGGGGGCAAAAAAAGAACACTTCGACCGAGTCATATATCAGCAAAGTTTTCGCAGCCCAGACAGAGGACGTGGATACGAGTAGCAGGGCGGAAGATATCCAAGATGTTCCTCGGTAAGCAGGAGCTGGGTCTCGCCCATCGTTGATGTACACCAAAATGTGAAGCCATCTTTAGTCGCAGCCTGACTGGAGAAGATCTTTGGAATTCATGTAACCTCAAACAGCTGCGAAACTTCCAGTATGGAGTCGACCCACGTATGAGTACCTGGAGACCAGTATCCTTGATCTGGGAAGACTTCCAGAACCTTGAGCACGCTTTCGACAACGTCGCCACGGTTAGCGACATCATCTTCACCGCAGTCGCAAGGCGGCGGGTTTGTATATCATCGTATGTCCGGACGTACCTTGGAATGGGAAGACCGATATTTTCTTCGTAGACCCGGACATAGAAGTGAGCGCTGACGTTTTATTATCGACCACTCGTGGAGATATCTCGCCCTTCATGTCAATCGCCTACACTTCTTAGCAAAACTTTTGTTTTTTTTCTACTGCTTTACAGGAGAGGGTGCCATCCACATGGAATGGAAGCGCGCGTTTGGAAAAAACTCTCGCTTACTTGGAATTGGAGGCGCCTGCAGTACTTGAAGAAGATGAAATATCTGACAGGTCACCTGACCCAAATCCCCTCAATTAACTGCGTCGGGCGGAGTTCAATGGGCCGTGGTTACAGTTGGCCGGAGAAATCAACTATCTCGCCTGGATCTCAGGCGCAACAAGTATCTCTCGATGGCGGCTCGCCCGGAAGGCTGTGGTGGGAGTGTCATGATATTATTTTCATACAGCTCATATAGTGGCGGAAACCGAATCAGAATTTAACGATGGTGTGTAACTTATGGAGCAGCACGGCACGGCAGAGGCAATTGGTTAGAATTCAAGGTGGCCATGGGAACAGCACGGCATGCCACGGCAGCTAGTAAAATGTCAAGGCCTGCTATTTAGCAAGCACGGGCCAGCAGGGCAATGTAGAATCAAGGTGGCATGGAACAGCATCGGCATGCACGGCAATAGTTAAAATTCAAGGCTGTAATTTATAGCCAGCACGGCACGCAACGGCCAATGTTTTAGTATATCAAGGCGGCAGTGGAGCCAGCCACGGCATGCACGGCAATAGTAAAATTCAAGGCAGTATTAGCCACGCACGGCATCCACGGCAGTGCGCTAGATTCAAGGCGCCAATGGAGCAGCCACGGCACGCAGGGCAATGGTTAGAATTCAAGGCGGCATGGAGCAGCACGGGCATGCACAGGCAAATAGTAAAATTCAAGGCTTGTT